CAAGAGGGAGGGGATATGGGGATATATGTATACGTATAGCTGATTCACTTTGTTATACAGCAGAAACTAGCACACCATTGTATAGCAATTATACTCTAATAAACATGTTAAAAAAAAAGAAATCTTTTCTTTTTAAAATTTTGTTATTTTTTTATCATCTTATTAAACATCTTTGGCCTTCATATCTACCTAATCTACACATTCTATTCAGAGAACAACTTAATGTAGGGACCTGTTTCTTTAGTGCCTTCTGTGTGCCAGTCTCTCTGCTAAGTATATCCATACACAATTCATTCAAATGATATATTTATCGAGCAGCTATTATGTGACAGGGACTGTTCTAGGCAGTGGAAATACATCATGGTACAAAACAGATTTTAGAAATCTCTGTCCCTAGTGTGCTTCTACTGGAGAAAGAGAATTTAAAAAATTAATAGTTTATTTATATAGCATATTAAATGGTAATAATTGCTATAGAAAAATAACGAGCAGGTTAAGGGGGTTCAGGAGTACTGGAGTGGAAATGAATGATTGCAGTTTTAAGTAGAATGGTCAGGGTAGGCAGCTCTGAGAAGGTAAGACACTCAAGCACACTTGAAGGAGGTAAGGGAACAAGCCATAGGGGTATCTGGAAGAAGAGCATTCACACAGAGTAAGTGGCCAATTTAAAGGCCCTAAAGCAGAAGTGTATGACTGGCGTATTCAAGAAATCATAAGATCAGTGTTGCGAGAGCAAGGGGGAGAGGAATGGGAGATGAAGTCAGAATGGTAACTGGATTGCACAGGGTCTTATAAGTCATTGTAAAGACTTTGGCTTTTACTCTGAGTGAAGAGAGGAGCCATTACAAGGTAGTAAATAGAGAAGGCTCACGATTTGATGTCCATTTTAGAAGGATCACTCTGGCTGCTCCCTTGAGCAGAAATTGTAGGGTTATAAGCAATTAGGAGACTATACAATAATTCAGATGAGAGATGATGGTATTTTAGACCATGGTGGGAGCACTGGAGATAGAGAAAAGATGGATTTTGACATATTTCAAAAGTAGAACTAACTGCATTTCCTGGCATATTCAATGTGGGGTGTAAAAAAAATTAGGAGTCAAGGATATAGTCAAGGTTTTTGGCCTGAGCACCTGGAAAGATAGAATTAACAAGATGAGAAAAACAGTTATTGATATGAATTTGGGGAAAGATGATGAGGAATTCAATATTAGAGATATTAAGTTTGACATGTCTGTTAGACATCCAAGTGGAAATATTAAAAGTTGGATATATGAATCTGGAGCTCATGGGAGAAGTGCAGGCTGGTAGGTCAGATAAGATGAAGACTAAAAACTGAGCTGAATTTAGCAACGTGGAGACCTTTGGAAAGTTTGACAAGCGCATTTTTGGTGGAACAGTGGAGACAAAAGCCTGATTGGGAGGAGAGAATTTGAAAACAGATTTTAAACAACTTTTTCTTGGAGTTTTGCTGCAGACGAGGAATAAGGAAATGGAGCAATAACCAGAAGGGAGGATAGAGCAAAGAGAGGATATTTTAAGAGGGAAAAATAGCTGCTTGAATGTTTGAAAACTGATGGAAATAATCCAGTAGAGAGGAAAGAACTGATAATATAGGCTAGAGAAGGAAGAGTTGCTAGAACTGTGCCATAGAACAGACAAAAGGGGATGGCTCCTGTGTATAAGAGGAGGTACTGACTTTAGATAGGAGTATGACTAATTCGTCCATGATAATAGGCAGGAAACAGAGTATGTAGGTACAGATGCTGTTAGGAGTGTAAGTGTGGTGGTGGGAGTTTGTGGAAGTTCTCATCTGATTACAGCAGTTTTGACAGTAAAGTAGGAAGCAAGGTCATCGGCTTGAAAGTAAGGCTGAGGGAGGAAGTGTTAGAATTTTGAAAAGAGTGAAGGTGGTACAAAATAATGAGCTAGGAGACCAGAAGAGTCAACGGACAAGGGAAATGAAAGAATAACTGCCGGACATCAAGAATCCACTTGTGTTTCATGGTCATGCATTTTAAGCAAAGCCAGTCAGGATGCTTGTGTGCTTTCTCCAGCCACATTCAGGTGCACACATGTGGTCTTGGAGCAGGCGGAGAGCTGGATTTAACAAATACGAGGACATGAGAAAGGGACGAGGGAGCGAAGGGGGCATGCGAGGGAATAGTTCAGATGGTTGGCTATGGGACCTACAATGGACAAGGAGGGAAGACAAATGTTAGGGAAGAGGAACAGTGACGTGGTGAGAGGATCAGCAGATTGTAGGCCAGTAGGATGGAAGAATGCTTGGAATGAGAGTCCCTTCTATAAGGGGTGAGCTGTGAAAGATAGAGGGGCTGTCAGAGAGTGGGTCAGGGTTGCAGTTATTGGTAAAGACGAGGACTGAGAGCAGGGCTACTTCATGAAGAGGCCATGGACTGGTACCAGTTTGTGAACTGTACATTACTGAGCTGCAATGAGGTAAGTTCAGAAATTGAAGGAAATGTTTAGGTGACATCCAAGCCTATGATAAGTGGACTTGTATTCAGAATGTCTTTGCTTTTTAAATCTCATTTGTCTATTCATTTGTTGTTGTATTTTACAAAAGTAATGGTCTACAACAGATTGGCTGTAAACAACAACAAAAAATCTGATCCTGCCCCACAGCTGAAGCACTGCTCTAGCGTGCATGACTGTCACGTGACTGTCTGAGGAGGGTGGAGGGCAAGACCATCAGAGGAGAGGAGTTGGAAGGACTAGTTTCTTGAATATTGAAGTCACCGTCATCTCTAGCCTTCCGAGATAGAAGCCACCTGATTCCACCACTCTGGGGGGGCACTATTCTCATTGTTTGCCACGTGAACAGCAGAACTCAGAGTACAGTGTGAATGGTGCCCTTAGATTGTTCACGAAGGTGGCCGTTGCTATCTCCATTTTACAGATGAGACAACAGACTCAGAGAGGTGAAATAATTGCCCAAGTTCACATAGCTAGTAAGGGAAGGAACCAATATTTGAACTTAGGTTTGTCTGTCATGCCAAAGCTAGACTCTGTCCATACACCCCTCCGTCTTTGTCACCTGCTTACAGTTATGGGGACAGCATAGCCGTAAGCCTCATAAAAACTGGGGGAAAATGCCTTTTGGGAATGTGTTGTGGTCCATGTGGCTAAGATGAGCATTTCCATTTCTTTTAAAATCATGACTTGTTACATCTGCTGTGCTAACCCACAACCCATTGGTGTCTAGACCCATCTTTCCGGTTGGTCTTTGTTGAACCGAGAGGCTGAAGCTCCTCAGGAATCCAATATCCAATATCACCACAGGATTTCCTGCACTTTCTGTTCTTGTGCTTTAGTCATTACACATGTATTAGAAGCCTCTTCTAAATAATGGTTCATGAACGATAAAATGATGAATACTTTTAATACTTTTCTGCCCCAAATCTGTGCAATGGAGACGTTACTTTTATGATCTGAAAAGGTCTAGCATAGATCTATATTTTAAACCATCTTGTTCATGTGGAAACTCTCTAAGACTCTTAGGTCTCTGATGAGGGCTGAACAGGCCTGCTCTCTCACTGAGCCTGAGTCCCAGCTGCACTGGAAGCCTTGGCGTTTCCAGAAAAGTTGGTGTTGGTTGTTTCCCACTCTCCCCAGGTGCTTGGAGTATTTGAGAAATCAATCCAAAGAAAAAGCAGCATTAATCTCTTAGGGGTTTCCTGGTTTCCTCCATTTCTTGGCTCTCCAATGGGCCTGGGAAAGTACAACAACGCTACAGTTAATTTATAAAGCTCATGCATGTTTCACTGGACCTGTGAACAGAGAAGTCATCCACTTGTTCTGGAAGCCCTCCCTGGAGTTCTGAGTCTATATGCTTCCATAACACATAGGGCGTGGCGTCAGAATTATGGCGCTGCCTCTGTGAAGCATGGCCTGTGGTACATCACAGGGCCTGACACACAGTAGGTACTCACTAAGGATGAGTCGAATGAGTGAATAAACAACTGATGTTCAGTCTGTATAGGTATTTTTGTGGTGATGTGTTTAATCTTTTCTACCTTAAGCAAGTCACTAGCATGGATATATATTAATGTATATGAAAAGAACTTTGGGACTTATTTTTATATTCAAACATATGACTTTTCACCCAGAGAAGATATAGAAGAAATAAAGAACCCACCAAGATAAGCAAATAAAGCTGGACAGAGTAGGCTATGCTCACTCAGTTTAGTTTTAAATAATAATCAAAATAGATAATAGGAGCAGAATTTTACTTTGAAAAGTAATACTGCAAATCCCAGTTGATGTGGTGGGGAGAGGAGTCATTAAAATACTTTAATATGGTAAAATGCTAATTATCACAGTTATTCATTGAAAGTAACTTAAAATCTCTGGTTGGCATCATAAGCATAACTAGAATTTTCAAATACATGTTATTAATTATTGTTATTAATATGAGGTTTAAAACCTGATCCTTTTTGGAGACTAAGTATCAGGAGAGGTGAATTTTAAAATGTGCCTGAAAACTCACAGCAACCAAATGAAAGTTGGTATTCTTTTCTTCCATCTTGCCAAAGTACTCATCACATTCATAAGAAATGCAACCGACATGCCAGGCACTAAGTTTCACATCACTTGTTTTTATAAGGCTGTATTCCAGTAGATGGGGAATACTTTGATTTTAGTATCTACTTCATTGACGTTAAGAGTCTAGGCTCATTCTAATGACCATGGTCAAGATAAGATATTTTTCCCTGGTTTGTCTACACAAACCTATAAGAACTAGCAAAAGCTTAACTATTGTATTTGAATAGAGAATTCTTCCTCTTCTAGATCTGAAGACTAAATAAAATATGGAACAGACAGTTACATGCCTAGTTTTTTTTATTATGCCTTTTGAAATAATTTGTATATACCTTTTAAATAATTTCAAGTGCCACAAAAAATAATGTTAATAGCTCAAAATCAAAAGTTAAAAAAAAAACCCTAAGTATAATTTTTAAAATCTTTTTCTTCTCAAGCGTTTTACGATGGGATAATGAGACAGATGTCTCTCAACTGGAAGGACATTTTGACATTGTTATGTGTGCTGACTGGTAAGTACATAAAAATCATAAAACTCCTGTTAGAAAAAATAGCTTTGCTGGAGTAATTGGGCTGTGCTGCTTTGCTGACGGCAAAGCAAAGTCAACAAATGAGGCACAAAGCTGCCTTAACCTCAACAAATTAACATTCATCTCCATGTGACAGTTATAAGGTAGTCTTCTATCACACAGTAACTTCTACCACATTATTTCCCAAAGATTGATTTTGAGAAGCATTTCCATTTTCTGGAATTGCCTCTGTTTCATGCTTGACGTATCAGTAAATGGACGACTTAGGCAAATTGCAAATAATTATGGCTCGGAGAGGAATAGTCTGGAGAAAAAGGAGTTTATCAACACAAACAGCTCAATTAGCTTACTTCTTAGGAGAGATCTGACTATTGATATAAGGGAATATATATATGTATGTGTGTTTGCACACATATACACTCCAGCGTATAAACATATCTGTGAAATATCTTTAGGGAAATAGCTTTTCTTAAAATGTATGTTTGCTATCTAATATTTTCAATGTCTTCAATTATGATATTTAATTATACATAAAACAAGAATTATAAAATTACATTTTATTGTTATGCAAATAATAATAGTAAAATCTCTGTCAGATGCCTGCCTTTTAAAAATAATTTACATTAGATATTTAGTCTTCTCTTTTAGCCCAGTCTACTTATTGTTAATGAAAGTCTGATCCTAAGTTACAAGATAAATATGTATCAAACCTTAATAATGATTTCAACTAATCTTATGTATTTTCTTCGTGTATTGAATAATAATATGAGAAACATTGACAATTCACAAGTATTTTTCCTGTTAAGGGTAAAATCTTATTTGTAGTTTTATCATGATTTTTAAAATGACACTATGGATTTGAAAACACAAGTTCAGATTCTAAAGAAGTTCTATTATACTGATAAACCCAAACACAAGATCCGTAACCCAGAGGACACTTTCCTTATGCGAGAGTTGAATGAATGCAATGAAGTTTTCAGGAAGTCTTTATTTTAAATTATTATTTAATAAGATTTTCAGTGGCTAACTTTCACCTAAGTCAATGAAATTAGACTTGCTTTCTGTTTTCTTCTGAAAAATACTTGTCAAGGAAACAAATATTTTCTTCTATTCTTAGTTGAGATTTTCTAGTTTTTCATGGCCATTTTAGTCTCTCTGCACCCAGTTTCAGAAAACCTTTTTCCAAAAAAAGAGAGAAGCAGATTTTTGACTAATCATTGATATTGTGTCTCAATATTACAGCCCTCATCTAATCAAAAATAAGGAGCTAAAACCTCACCATATGATTTGAGCAAGTAATTTAGTAAATGCTGTCCCTCACCAAATATGAGAAAGGATTCTCCAGGTTTCATTGCACAGATGAAGATAATGCAGGCAGGATTAGATCAGATTAAGCATGAAAGTCAGATCAGAGAGCAGCAGAAAGAGGGAAGAAGGGTAGAATCTTGGAGGTTTAGATGAGGGTCGCACATGGATGGGCTCTGATTCTGTGGGGAAGTCAGGTCTGGCCAAGAGATTTAAAGTTAATTTTGTCCTTTGCACAAATGTCAAAACAGCCTGGCTCTGTCATACCTTGTGTTATGACACTCACACCATGTCATCCTATTTGTACCAGGGAAGCAGAGGAAGTCAGATTTAAGCTCTTTTCTGATTAATGTTCTCAGTTAGGTTAAAAATAGCCACACAACATGTTTGAAAAATAGTCTTTTTCCCTAGCCAACAACAGGATCCTGTACAACTGATATACATAATGCATATTCAGTTAAGCCTTTCATTACAAATACATAACATAATAATACAATGTTATACGTACACACACATACCATATACATAAATACACATCTAGTCACTATTGAGAATTTATGTATTCAAATGAACTAAATACACCAAGTTTCATTTTATAAATGGCTTTTCTATGCATGAATTGTTAAGTTTTCTTTTCCTCCGGTGTTGTCAGTGCCTGAATGTCAGCCTGTTTATAATTTCCCATTTGTAAATGTGAAACATTAAGCCACTCTCACTGCGATGCTGATACTATTTCCAAAAGAAATGCTTTGGTAATGGTCTGTCTTCATATTCACAGGGATGGGTAAGTTGTTCAGAAACTTAGAAAGTACAACGATGTTCATAATATACGTGTTGTGCATATAGCAGGGAAGCCCAGGATTCCATGTGTTCTTTATGTCCTGTTGGATTGATGTTTCTCTGTCAGAGTTATTGCACGGATGCTGCTTCTAGGGGCAGGCAGGCAGGCAGGCAGACCATGCTGCTATGTTTTTTTTTTAAAGAATGTCACAGAGGAGGAAAAGAAAGCTCTCTATTTAGACACTACCTCCAAGATGAAACCTGAAATAGTCAGTGCCAGAAATAGGTGCCACACATAAATAGATCACGTTAAGTCTCACACCATCCTTGAGTCCTTGTCAGTCAATGAGATCTGGATTAGGCCACAGGAATATGAAGCAAGAGTTGGAGTTCAAATATTAGGTACATGGATTAAATTCTTACTGAAGCATTTCCAGCAAGGGTGGCATTGTCTGCTTCCCTGAACAGCTAACCAGTGGTACTGCTTGATCCCATTTACATGAAAACAAGCTCTATTCACAAACCTATTCCAAACCCACATTGTGGTTCAAGTAAAATGCACGTGATTACAACGAGCAGCGATATGTTTATGTTGTTAAATCATTCAGATATTCATATATTTACATTCAAACATTCATAAACCTGTAGGCAATGGGGGAAATAACTCATTTCCCAGAAGAGACAGTCTCTTAGTTCACATCTAAATTTAGGAGCTCAACTAGATTATAGAATAAAGAGGCACACTGAAAGCTAGTCGTTATTTCACCATTCAGCATTTTGGACAATGAAATATAGTTTCATGGTTCAACAGTTCCTAAGTAACTTGTAAAATGTCAACTTTGAAATAAACAGAAGGAAAACTCAAGGTGCAGTCATACCTGCAAATGGATGCTGTTGACAAATATCAAAATATTAGAATATTTAACCACAGGTATAGGAAAAAAAACCCTCCTATTAAATTCCTTGGTTGACTTGTTTAATGTTGAATTTAATATAAGAGTTCCTTTCTGCTGGAATGCAATCCAGCCCGGTCCTTGCTGAGTTTAGAATAGCGAGTGCTTGTTAATTTTAAACCTGCCTTTCCAGACTCCTGTTCAATCACAATATTCTGAGAGTCTGGTAGTAAGATGCTTTTTATCCAGTGAACACTTCCATTCAGTGTTTGATGGCTTTCCAGTTTACTGTAGCTCTGCAAAAATAAAAAAGATTCTGTAAATAAATTAAAAAAAAATAGTTTCTGCACATTTGGATTCTCTAAAGGCTTGGAAAGCAAGTCGGAAGCCACCCCTAGCCAGACACACGGAGCTAGGTCTGCAGGACGGTGTGCACCACATCTGCATGCCTCCAGCCTGAGACGTTGGGAAGAAATGGGGAAGGTACATCACTTCACTTGCTCTCCCAGCATTTTTATACTAACTATATACAGTGGATTGTTTTTATTTTCTATCATGTTTACTTTAAATGATGCAAAAAGTTTGGGTTTTGTGAAGAAAAAATTTTTTTCTCAAAATAGGCTCTAGGATTTCTTTGTTTTCTTCCAGATGCTGTGATCATAGGTGGTTCTAAATCACAACTCACAGACCTTTCCACCTGAAAAGACCTTTAACCCAAATGTAGTCAGCCCTCTTACCTCACACCTGAGGAAACTCAGTCCCAGAGAAGATCTCGTACCTAAGGGATGGCACCAAGCGAGATCAGAATACGGCTCCCCGGCAATCAGTTGCTAAAGACTGATAGAGGCCATTCCATCTGCCGAAAGTTAAATCTAAAACAGTGAATGTAACTGAGCATATTTCACCGTGAAAATTACATAGAGGTCTTCCTCTCTGTGGATGCTGACAGAAATGACTCCTTGTTCTCTGCACTAATTAATTTCCCTATGAGAGGAGCTGGAGCTGCTCTGTGCTCTGCAGAAAATCCTGACTGATTCTAAGGGAGGCGATGAAAATGGCCTGGCACCTTTCCTTTGTCGTATAATCTGTGATTCAGATCAGTGGAACAAGGCAAGCGTTGATTCCACAAGTGAATTATATAGAGGGGAGTGTGTGTGTGTGTGTGTGTGTGTGTGTGTGTGTGTTTGATGGCCAAACTAGGCCGACTGTCGATGTATTCTGATCAGTAACTGAAGGGAGAGTTGAAATGGTATCTTCATCCCAATCACTGACCCACTCAGCCTTTTTTAATAGATCCACTTAAGCTACTGCTGTTCTCTGAGCCCATTAGGACTTATTTAAGGGGTGAATTTTCAGGAGATTATATATCACTCCCACCAAAGCACATTGAAATTGCTGATAGGATGTATCCTACTAAGCGTTATAAATTCTGCACCAGAGCTAAGTAGAAAGGTGAGCTTGCTTGGAATAAAGACCTATTAGAGAACTACAAAAATTACTTTTGGGAGATTTGACTTGGAGTGATGGAGTAGACAGCATTAGCTTTCAAATAACTGTGTTTTGAATGTGTGCTCTGTGTTAAGCTGCATTTTCTAGTGAGCTGTGAGGTTAACATTTTTGTCACCATTGCCAACGTTAAGTAGAAATAGTACTATATTAGGTTATGCTTTTTTAATTGAAGTATAGTTAATTTACAATGTTGTGTTAGTTTCGAGGGTACAGCAAAGTGATTCAGTTATTTATATACACATATATATATATTCTTTTTCAGATTCTTTTCCATTATAGGTTATAAGATGTTGAGTATAGTTCCCTATGCTATATAGTAGGTCCTTATTGTTTATTTTTTTATGTAGCAGTGTGTATATGTTAATCCCAAACTCCTAATTTATTTCCCGCTCCCCTTATAAGGTTATGTTTTGAGCTCAGCTTTTAAGCTGTTGCTTATTTGTCTCTAACAATCTTACCAGCTCTTAGGATGCACAGGTATAAATTGAGAATGGTGTTTTGCTTGGCGCTGTGTATCCCAACCAGCCAGGTCTCCTGTAGACCCGAGTAACTGACAGAGGTATTTTCTCACAGTGGTAGTCTTCTTTAAAAAAAATAAAATAAAATGCTTAATTATTAACATTTAAGATAGTATCACCTCACTAAACAATAAGGTATATAGTCCTGAAGAGAAAATTTCAAAACACTTAAATACAATTCGATTCCTTTCTTATCGATCCTTACTGGTTATTAACCACTGATGAATATGGCTAAAAGGCAAATTTTTGTAGCATTCGAATTAGACACATTTTGCGCTCTAAGATTTAAGTGCATAGTTTTCTGGAGCAATAAGAAATTTTCCCATGGGTAATAATCAGGTTATCCTGATTATCCTGATGGATAGTTTCCCATTCTAGAGATCACTTCTAGCTCACCTTAAGAGGATTCTTTTTCCATTGCTCAAAGCAGAACTTTATAGAAGAAATTTCCACTAAGCATGTCATGGTGAAACCCAAGCACTGAGAACTACAAAAAAGCTGCTCTCCCCACTCCTCTTAAGTGAGAGACTTAGGAGAGAACCTGGTCTGGTGAAACGTCCTACCTAAATGCTGATTCCTCCCTAGCAAGACCAGTGAAGGAGTGCATACAGCCTGTTTTAGAGGCATTGAAACCCACCCTACGTAAGCTCCTGCATTTCAAAGACTGTGTTGATCTGCCAGTTAGGCAGTAAGTAACTCTTCATTGAGCCTCCTCTCTGTGTGTATGCTGGGCCAGACCTAGTGACGCAGAAATGAATACAGACTGGAAGCTCCTTGAGGATGGGAACTTCGTCTTATTCACAGCTTATCTCCAAGGCCTGAAACAGCCCCTAGTATACAGCAGGTCGTCAACAAATATTCATCAACCGACATATATCATTCATTTGATGCCCACCGCAGCCACAGAGGTGGGCCCTCATTGACAGGAAAACTGAGGCCTCAGATGAAGTGACTTGCCCAAGGTCACATAGCAGAAAGGTCAGAGCCAGAGCCTAGGAAACCCTGAACTATGCTCTCCCCTTGTCTGAAGTGTGGCTCCACCAGCAGCGCTCCCACTGACAGCTGTTACTCATCCTTAGCTCGGAGGAGGACGACGCAGGGCCCCAGAGTAGGTGGTAATTAGCCATGCTGTCTGGGGAGCGGGAGGCCAAACCAGAGGGACCCACACCAAACTACAGCATTCGAAATGGGAGTAGAGGCTTTGCTTAGGCCCCTCATGGGATAGCTGATGCACAAGGCCACCCAGTGTTCTAGCCTGCAAGTCCTGGATAAGGAAACTCTGTCCTAAACTTCCAAGATAAGGCCTGGTGAAGACAGGGTCAGACTGATCCAGCCAAAGATGTGACAGAGCAACAAGAGAAATTCTCAAACCAGAAAAGAAAAATGAAAAATCACATGAACTGGGAAAAAATCAACATGGAGATCAAGGGGGAAAATCCAGAGTTGCCATGGTCTCTGGGACACACTGCCTAAACCTGGTCTTTGTTTACTCCTAGGTCACTTGTTGGCTCTAACCTCAGTGCTGTTGCTAGTCACTAAAAACTATCACCACCTGAGAGCTGTTTTGTGGTTGGTGTGTAATAGGGCCGGTGGTTTGTTTTTGGAGGGTGGCCTCACAGCACCCTCAGTGGGCAGAGGGCACAGGTCTACAGACAAGTGTGGGGAGAGCTTCATCTCCACCAGATGATTTCCCCCAAACAGCAGCTTAAAAATTGTCCCTTTCACACTAACACATGGCCAGTCATGTTGAATCGTGGCCCATCGCATGTTGATGACTTGACTTTGGTTGGATAACAATGACCACAGTATCTTTTGTTTATTCCAGTGAGACACTTGAATGGAAGGAAACATTTCTCTTTTTTAGTGTTGAGTAAACATGTGTAATTAGTCTTGATCTCCATTAGTATCATTAGACTTGAAAACCCAGTTTAATCTGGATTCTGTTCTCTTCTCAATGTCAGCCTGTTTCTGGACCAGTACAGAGCCAGCCTTGTTGATGCAATAAAGAGATTACTCCAGCCCAGGGTAAGTATGTTTCTATTTTCTCCTGAACACTGGCTTCAGAATAATTAGTCTGTGCACAAAGATGGAGAGAGTAATGGAATGGCAGAATTAATGTCATGTAATACTTTAATACTTATTATGTCCAACTTCAATTGGGTCTTCTGATCTATCAGATTCTTTCCTAATCATAACTAGGGAACTTCTTACCCTTGGCCTTCTGATAAGGAACACAGTGGGTAGTAAAATAAATGAAACCACTTCAAAGATAGTGTGAGATGATTTTTATCAAAGAATTTCTTGAGTCTTTTCCTTTGATAACAATATCTTCATATTAAAGTAGAAGTATGATATTGAAAGTTTTCTGTTGACTTCTGTCATTATAAATCCCTTCAATGGTTACATTTGTCATTGGGTATTTATTGCAAAACAACATTTTTCTTTTTATTTCTGTTTATATTAAATAAAGAGGCTTCAGATGAATCTGTATATTAATCTGTTCTTTGCTTTAAAAGGAAACCATTATTTACATATTATAAACATTAGGTCACAATGAAGCCAAGCATGGCATAAAATATTGTGCACATTTTTACATTTATATATCCATTTATGCCTGAGAGTAAATTACAGAGTTTTTATCCACTCTTATTTTTGGGGGCTGTTATACTAAGCTAGGAGGTCCTGCAGCCTAAACAGAGAGTTAATATATATCTATTTAAAGTAAGAAAACAAGCTTAAAGCACATGCATTAAAAAAAAAAATCTTATAACTATGTAAGACTCTTGCTGTTCCATAGGGATTTAAAATAGGTTAACAATGTTAAAGTAGTCTAAGACAGGAACTCACATTTATCTGAGAAAGGACTATACTGTGTGTGTGAAGTATTTTCTAAAGTTTTATCTCTTCTTTTAAAAAAGGTTTGCTCTAGTCTTCTGACCTCAGTGAGACTTATAGACTAATACCTTTCAATCTTTCTTTTATATCTTTTTCACATTGAAGGTTCCCAGAGCAATTTGATAATCATCCTTTGCCTTACACTGTTGCTTTCTATTTTGTTATCTCTATATACCTCAGAAACTTTAAATAGCCCTCTCAGAGGAGTAACCACAGCTTTGTAAGTGGTAATCAATTCAATTAAATTGGCCTTCTCAATTCCCTCTGAGGTGGGTAATAGGTCTGGAGGCAAGGAAGGGGCACGCACCAAGATATTAATGGCAGCTGTCGTGGTTGAGTGAGCAGCCCAAGTTGAGGGCAGAAGGAATTGGGGGCCTCTTCATCCCCCCATTAGCCTTAGGTGGTTCTCATGAGCATTTGCAAGATCAGGATTTTCAGAGAGGGGACGGAGATTCTTGGACGTAAAGGCTTCTAGGAATACTATCATACGTAAACCCAATTTCAAGGACTCCTGGATCTCACAGCGCACAAACAGTACTTCACTCATCACCAACACCCCTTCAAAGCCTATTTGTGACAAGTACTCCATTTTGCAGCAGATTTGCATGATTTACGTAGGATCTATCGTAAATCATGAGAACGATTTACAAGGGAAAACTGCCCAAGCTATGAATAGATCTACATGGAGATTGAACTGGAACGTCTAGCAGCTCTCCTGCACCCTCTGTTAAACTCTGAACGATGCTCCCCCTAGTCTGAAGTGTGGCTCCACACAGCAGCCTCCTCTGAGGACAGCAGTGCTCCTACTGACAGCTGATATTCACCCTTAACTCGGAGAAGGATGAGGCAGGGCCCTGGAGTGGGCAGTACTTACTCATGCTCTGTGAGGAGTGGGGAGGCCAAATCAGAGGGGCCCGCATCAAAATGCAGCATTAGAAATGAGAGGAGGAGACCTCGCTTAGGGCCCTCCTGTCCTGCAGGCCTGCTCAGACTGCGGGGTGTTCTAGTCTAAGGGGTCAGGGGTCCACCCTAAGGGGGGAATCCCAGTTGTGGATGGCACATGGACATACTGAAGTTCCCACCCAGGGGTCCCATCCCCATTGGGAGGTCTGGGGAGGCAGGGCATTTGCACTCCCTGGGCCCCCACCCAGACGGACTCAGGAAGGGTCACCTGGACTCAGCAGGGAAGAGCAGCAGCTCTCTATCCCATGCCAGTGGGCTGGAAGGATTCCCAGAGCTCGGGCGCACCCAGCGGATAACTGCACTCTTCTCCTTCTTAGCTCCCAGGGCTGTTGTCCTGCTTCCAAAGGACCTCCCCCTGATGAGTGTCTATGTGTGGGAGTCACAGTCCAAGACTAAGATAACACTAAAGGTTTTAGTCTATTACAATTTGAGATGCTGTAATGTTTTCTTGAGCCTAGACCACTCCTCCATGGTTTTGTGGCCCAGAGGCTAAAGGTGCCATGAGAGGCCCACAGAGAAACAACCTGGGCAGGTGCACTGGTAGATCCTGAGTTCTTGGTAATTCAGGGCTCAGCAGACTCAATGGAGACAAAACAAGTTCTCAGGGTGCTCAGCAAAAACTGCACTTTGGCCAAATGCTTCGAATTCATAGGAGGGCCCAGTTTCTGAAGGCAAAGTATCAGTGGGTGGAGTAAGAAATACCTGCATACAAAACTTGTTGTTCTTACTACCTAGCCACTTACTGGATTCATCTCTCGGAGCCTCCGTTTCTCATCTGTAAAATGGGGAGTAAACAAGCCAGTGCATTGGAAAGCTTTAGCACATGATTGACTCTGAATGAATATGTGTTCACTCTTATTACCTTGAAGAATTAGGGAGACTTTCCGGCTGTGATGAGTATAGAATATAGGGGGCTCTTCACAAAAACTGTTCTCAGAGAAGTGGTTGGCAGGAGGGGAAAATTTTTTTTCTCGACCTGGACTTGGACGATATCTACACATAACTGGGCCTGCTGCAGTTCCCTGCACCCGTGTCCTGCATACCTGCTGCAGGCTCTGCAGAGGTCCGGGGGATTGTCTACCTGGATGAAATGACACTTTTTAGTACAGATAACCCTACCGAGTAAGGTGAGAGAAATTATACTAAGTGGCCAGAATGAAACCATTGCAACACAAAGGTTCAGGTGTCAAGCTTGGGAAGAAATGGCTTCTGCCATTACTGGGGAGTATGGTTCCTTGATTTCTAGCTAAGGTAGCTCTGCTGTCTGGAGTCAGAGGATCCAGAGCAAAGAAAGTAGAGGGAGGGGAGGGTTCCCCTTGCTTTTCAGCTTTTATATTGGGGGTCGTGGATGAGGTGGCCCTCAGAGAGAGCTTAGCCACCAGGGTGGGCTCCTGGCTTGACCAGGAACAGTAGCAGATCCCAGGGCTGAGCCTAGATGCTCGGGCAAACGGGCACCCATGCCTGGAGAGTCATTACAGGAAGCCCCAAATGTCAGGAGGAAATGACTGTTACCTGTCCCAGATGGAAACTTTCCTCAACTTACTGGTTGAGAGACACTGTCAGAACATCTGACTCCTGCCAGAATGCTACAAGGGACTCTCTAGCAAACTTACAAGAAGAAAAGAAAAGATCTTAAAAAGGAATGAAACCAGCACATCTTACTCATTCCAAGAAACAACATGTCCCTCCCCTCCCGCACCTTTTTCCCTCCGGTGAGTGGCTTCTTGTTGCCGACAGGTAACCCCCTATCGCTGTGTTCCTTAAAGACCATCAGCCATGTCTGATATCAGAGGACCCAGATGTAATTTAAAATACAGCCACACAAGCCTACAAGTTGAATTTCAGTCCAGAAGTGATAAGCAACCAATGGCATCTACTAATATTCCTCTGAAATGGCTTTGGGTGGAAGGAGGGGAGCCAAGCCAGTTAGTGTGAGTTTACTCAGGACCATGCAGAGATAGATGGGGATGCAATATGGACAGATCTCCAGCTTGTTATAGCTGCTAACCATTGTCAAGAATTCAAAACTATCACTGTGGAATTCATTTAACCTTCTGTAGAAGCTGCCCTAAGTGACTGCCAAATTCCTGGAGTCCTGACTACACGCCAGCCGTGCTATAAAAGCAAACCATGGACTCTCATTTGAGAAGAGCACTTTCTTTTTACTGACATATTTTCTCACCTTTCAAAAAATCTAGCACCTCTGCACCCATCTGTACACACCTCTGTTTTTGCTTATCTCAGGGAAGTGCCCTGTGAGTGTGGGTTCAGTGGCATGAACTGAGATGGTGCTGAAGGACCCTTGGTTCCTGTCTGCTTGCTGGGTCAGAGGCCCAACAAATCCTCCACTGTTCTTGGTGAGGACCTGTGTTCCACCATACCTGGCCCTCCAGGTGTAGGAATAGAGAGTCCCCAGATGGTTTTTAAGACCCTCAGAACAAGAGCCTAGCCCTTAGAAGTTCTTCTTGGAAGTCCACCCAGTTGTTCATCCAGTGCTGAGTCTCTGCCCCTGAGGAATTTATAATGTGGTCACGGAGATGTAACATACACACAGATGAAATTACAGTGGACAGTGCAAAATGGCTTATAACAGCCCAGCACTTGATCATATAGGGCCTGGTGCTGTTTTTATTTGTTGTGTGATTTTTTTTTCTAATTTACACCTTCTATAGAATGTGAGATGCTCCGAGATTTGAACTCGTCTTGATTCAACAAACATTTGTTGAGCCTTGCACTGTGCTGGGGATTGTGGGGTATAAATAGGAATAATGAGCACTTTGAGAATCTCCCTGTTTACCAGGGCAGATTAATGCACAAGCTCCTGGAATTATAATGCTATATGGTAAGCACTAGGGATACAGCACGAAGAGTAACTAACTGCCTAAGGAAGGGTTCCATAGAGGCAGCAGTATTTGACTTTGTTCTTGAAGAGTAAGAAGGCCATTCTAAGCCTCAGAGGAAGGAGACTAGAAAGTAGCATCCCTGGTGGAGGGGACAGTGCTCACAGGTGGAGAGTACGAAAAAGCATGTTGTGTTTGCAGGAGTTTGCTCTGGCTGGAGTGTGAGAGTGTCTGTGTGGTTTGGGGTTAGGGTTGGGGAGGGGTGAGGGATGAAGTTAAAAGAGTTAGTTTGGGTACCACTTTAAGAAAGGCTGAGAACATGATGAT